CATTATATCGCGACACTGTAAACAACCTCTGTATTCTTCTATATCCTCTTCTCTTTAAACATAAAACTTTCCAGCGTTATATATAAAAGTTAGAACTTAGTCTGCACCCTTGCACCCGATACTACCAGCTTAAATTTACGATAGACGGTGTAGTAAAACTCTCTTTTACTCAGCTCGTACCGTCCTCGCCTTTGCTACTTTATCCGATTGTAGTATTATTTCGCTCAAACATAAATTATAGCAAACTTAAATTTACTCTAAATACAAAGATAACACTCTGAAACTTAAACAGAGATAAAAATATAAATAATCCGGTCTAGGTTTCAGTTGGAGCATTGTGCAGCAACTACTTATACTCCTAATTCTTTCTTTACATCATTCATCCTCGTAAATTTTATGCATCGATAAATTGTCCGGCGTTTCAGATAGCAAAGTACCATTTCGGATTGTAAAGCTCCCGGAGAGTGAGCCGAGCACTAGACTGGAATAGAAATCGAGAAAAAATAAGTCGAACTTGAGTGCAGAGGTGAGTTGAGCCTTTGGGTCAATATACTGACCATTTCTCGCTATTCATTTCTGGTAGACTGGAGACACCTCGAAGAAAGCTCCATCAGCAGTGCCTCTCAGTGAAAGAGCACAAAGACAAAATAAAGCATCTCCCATCTTTTCTTCTCCTTGAGTTCCCAGTAGAGGAAATAAAATAATAAAAGGAAGCAAAGGAACTCCTCGTAAACAAGGAAAATGTGTTTTCTTCCTTTCGCGCCTCAAATGGCGACAGAAAACCGGACCGTTCGTTGGATAAAGACCGAGGATAAATAATCGAGGGGGGGGGGGATTCTAAAAGTTCTGGAACTGGTATTATGTATAGATATATATATAACGCTACTGGGGCACGGGGTAAGAAATCGATCAAGCTCCCCTTCCACTTTTTCCCTCCCTCGAACTTTTAGCCGTAACTCTACTCCGTCCAACTTTTAAACTACTATAGTGTATGTATGTAGTTGGCGCGAGACACCGCCGTGTCTCCGGGATGAACATAACAGCGAAGGGGGATGTCTATGGGGTGAAAACGCGTCGAAATAGGTATCTCGGCCGCGCCCTCTAACCTACAGCCAGCAACCAACAACCTAAAACAATAAACTTAAGGCAGGGCGCGATTGCTTCCTCCGTTTAGAATATACTTAAATTTAAATTTAACATACACCCCGAAACTATGCTCCACTAAAAAGGTATACTATGTATAATATAAGCGACTGAGGTAGTTCAGATTGTGGATAGCTTGAGATATAGGAAAGACGCTCTAGGATCGGCTATATCGTGTTTTATACAGCTTTGTTTTTAGTTTAGTGTTTGTAAGTTAGTGTGTGGATGGCTGCGATGTGTATATGCAGCAGAAGTGTCTGTGTGTGTGTGTGTTTATAGCTGCACCCGATCCTGTACTATCTATTCCACACACTGAAATTCTCGGTATTCGTCGGGCCATTTCAACAATTAACTGGGAACTGGCGACCTACCTACCCGCGATTCAAACTCTATTTCCGGAGATTAGCTCATGAGTTATGTCATGATCAATTTGGCAATTAATTCCTGCTCCCACGGCATTTATTTTGGAGATAGACATGTGGTTTTACATATGCTTGGCATTCACGGATTCTTTTAATGATTTTTTGTGTAGAAATTTTGCATGATAAAAATAATTTCTTTTTATATTGTAAAAAAAAATCTTTTTGAAAATTTGAATTTTTTTCAATATTGATGAAAAAAAATTTTATCAAAATAAAAATTTGTTATCTTTTATTATGGAAACGCAGGGATGTAACTTGAAAAATTAGAAATTTTTTCAAAAAATAATAAACTAATCAACTGTTTGGCCTTAGAAGCTTATAAAGGATGCAAAAACAAGTGAATTGATATGTAATGATCATTAATGAAAAAAATTTTTTTTTTCATTCAAAACAGATTAAAGAATAGGGAAGAATTTTAGTAAAAAATTTACTTTGTCTAAAATATATTATATCTCAGAAGCCTTTGAGTTTAAAGTAATAATATAAGATTAGTACACTGATAAAAAAATTGACTTGACTCAAGAGCCAAACTCTTGAACCAAGAATTCCATTTGGAAGAAAATGATTTTCTTGCGTCAAGATAATAAATTCTTGACTCAAGAAAGTTTTTTTAGACCAAGAATAATTTCTTAGCTCAAGAGTTTATTCTCTTGACTCAAGAAAATCATTTTCTTCAAAATGGAATTCTTGGTTCAAGAGTTTGGCTCTTGAGTCAAGTCAATTTTTTTATCAGTGTATATTACTTACCTAGGGCAGAAAAGTAAGAAATGTCTCAGATTACATGCAATTGTTGAGAAACGTGATCTGAGGCTTTCTTATTTCCTATTCAAGGTGTGTACACTAAAGTTTCTTAGACCAAGAATAATTTCTTAGCTCAAGAGTTTATTCTCTTGACTCAAGAAAATCATTTTCTTCAAAATGGAATTCTTGGTTCAAGAGTTTGGCTCTTAAGTCAAGTCAATTTTTTTATCAGTGTATATTACTTACCTAGGGCAGAAAAGTAAGAAATGTCTCAGATTACATGCAATTGTTGAGAAACGTGATCTGAGGCTTTCTTATTTCCTATTCAAGGTGTGTACACTATTTTTCTGCTCGACGAAGGCGGAAAGCGGCAACTTCATTTAGCGCAGCAGGACGGAAGTTGAGGATTTCCGCCCAGAGGGGAAAAAATTAAATTTGAAGCGAAATGTATGATCTTTGAAGTAAAATTTTAAGTACCAACTCGAATGTTTAATACTTCAGAAGTTATGAATAATAAAAATCGTAATAAAAATGAAGAATTTGAAAAAGAAGCAAATTCTAAGTTTAATATTTTCCAGCTCAGAAGTTTTCGGTGTATAACATCATTCGTATTACAACTTCTTCTGTTCTTCATGTCAGAATGTAGTTAATAAACGGGATTTTTTCCCTCGTAAAGAACGCCCAAAAGAAATTACCAAATTACTCCCCCGGAGTGGTATTTTTTTATCACTCGGTATTTTAAGCAATACAGCGCGTATTATTTCTTGAACAAAAAATCTAAAATTACATCTCAAGCACGCATATAAATATTTTTTTCATAAAAGTAATATTTCTCAGTAAAAACTCGGTTGTTCCACTAAATAAAATGAGTTGATTTAATTTTCTGCATTGCTTCTCGGGTAAGGAAACAAAAAATAAAAAAATATCACTAGAAGACAATAGAAACCCTTGAGAGTATACGTTTCTCGTTCTTTTCAATTCTATTGTCACATCATCCGCGCCATTGCATCAAATTTTTTTTTATCTCCATTTTATTTTATTTTCCTCCTCACTGAATATAACTATCTATCAAAGTCACTCTTTATATATATTTTTCGCCAACAAAAATACCTTTTTAAAAATAATAAAAAAATCTTTTATCCCTCTCAAATTCAGCATTAATACCAACTCATTCGACACCGTTGCGTCCTAATATAAAAACTCTCATTGTAACTTTGGAATCATCCCGGCTCTGTGCCCTTTTTACAATTAAATGCAAATGTAAATGTAAATACTTGAAAAAAAAAAATTAAAACTTCTTTATTTTCTTTTTAAACTGGCATTCATTCGTTAAATATTTTACTTTTCTCATTACTGTTTAATCACTTTGTTCTTTTAATACACCCGTATCTTTCATACTCGGAGGTAACAGTAACAGTAACAGTATAAAAATATGTTTAAAAAAAAAAATAAAATAAAATAGGTAAAGTGGGCGAAGAAAAAGCATAATATAATGCCAAAGTATAGCATTAAATATATCCAGCTGTTAATGTCAATAAAAAGTTTTTATAACGAGCGATTACCATCAACATCAACACCAAATAAAAAAGTACTTAGAGGAGCTATCGTCAGCTCAGCAGTAATTTTTTCTTTACTTATATAATATAATGCTTTTTATTTTTTATTCTTTTTTTTTTTTTTTTTTTTTCATTCATTAATTCATTTTTATTTTCACCCGGTATGGAAAAATAAATTGCTGACTTGTCTGTTTGATTATCCCGAGGCTATTTCTCTTCTATTCGCATGGATCTCTCTCAAAACAAAGGGAAAAAAATTAATCCGTTCCATCAGTTAATTTTAACGTTCGCTTTATAATTTAAATAAAACAACAAAATAAAATCCTTAATCGGCAATCATTTTGATTATAATCCATATTGTTGAGGAATTTAACTTTAAATTAAAATTCATTAATTAAAATAAAATTTTATACATAATCATTTATTTTTTAAGATTAAAAAAATTTTATGACAGACATATTGACTATAAAAGATTTTTCTCTTCCAACCTCAGTGTCCTTAATTGAATTTTAATCTAAAATTCTTTCATTTCATCCCGTTTTTATTGATCAAAGTCGTAAAATAAATTTTTTATTGGCAATAAAAGTCTCCGGGAAAACTCTCGATATTTGTAAGTTCCCAAAAACGATCAAAGAAAAAAAATTACATATTTTATAACGACCTTTTGCTTAATTTTTTATTACAAATTTAACTATTATTTTTTTTTTTTGCAATAAAAAATTCCAAAACTTGTTTTTAGCAAAAAGTCTAAAATATTAGTCTAATATTATTTAAAATAATTCTCAGTAATGTCACTGAAAAATCCAATTATCACCGACAATCAAATTATTAACTGGCGTTGTATCTTGCACTCAAAGTTTTTGTAATTAAAAGACGTCTAACTTGAAACAGCGAAATATTCTATTGAGAGCGCAATAAAATTAAGATGAGCAGTCTAATTAAATAAGCTTTTATGTAATTAGTCTTCTGCTGGGAAATTAACGTTTTAATTAATAGCATGTAAGACGGAATTCAGCGATTGCATTAAATGTAATTTGAATTATTGGTTTTAGCGCATTCCTAATCTAATAGAACGTTCCTCAGCAGTGCTCTAAGGGACTATTATCCGGCCAAACATTGAACGTTGTTGCGTATTTGTATGGACCTCCGGGAATTGGAATCTGTTCCCAAGACACTTGCATCTCAATTACCTACTCGTGATCATTAATTGCAATCGCGGATGAACCACTCAGCTCTATCAAATATCAAATCGCGCGCATTCAATTCCTGTTTCATATTCTCAATTATTAACTCGCTGTTACTATTACGATTACTATTATTATCATTATGAATGTAGATATAGCCAACGAAAACATGTCTGCCTAAATTTACATGCGAACCCCGGATAGATAGCGCCTCTATAATAATAACAGGAGTATTATATTCATATCGCAGTGCATTATGTCGTTCATATTCACGAGAACGTTAATTATCGCGAAAACTTAAGGCAAGTTATACGTATAGTGTGGCTTAATGAAGCTCTTCTTGTTCCACTTTTTCGTCAAAGTTTAAATTTCAAATTTCACTAAATCCGACGAGTTCCTTTATATTGTGTACTTAAATATTTAAACATTCTGGGGTTATTAAAATTATTATTATTATTATTGTTCATTTTTTTAGTCATTATTTTGAAGAAAATTAATGAAGTTTTGGTTTTAATGTTACAGTTACAAAATTCATTCGAATTGGAATCGCTGACAAAAACGACAACCCTCCGTACTTTGATAAGAGCCTCTACGAGGCCGAAGTAGATGAAAATGAAGATATTCAACACACAGTACTTACTGTTACCGCCAAAGATCACGACGAGTGTAAGTTTTTGTTTATATTTTTTAGTAATTCAAATTTTAGAAACGTTTTTTTATCAATATTTAATTACTAAATATTTGAAAAAAAAAAAAAATTGAGAGTAGAAATAATTTTTTGGAATTATTTAACTTCATTCGATTTTTTTTTAAATTAAAAAAATCTTTTTGTTTTATTTTTGATCATTTTTAATGAATTAAAAAAAATATAAATATATTTTTTATGAGTGAAGTTAAGCAACTACCTAATTGTTTTAAACAATTAAATTTTATATAAAAACTATCTCTTATAATTTCCAGTATTTAATTTAAATTTTGCACTACATTACATTCAATTATATATCATAATAATTATTAAAACTGGTGAATACTTGAGACTTGTTAAATTTTTATACAACAATGCTGCAGTTTTACCGAAACAACCTCTGAACCGATAATATAAACACAAAACTTTACTTCTGATGGGTAAACTAGTTTAAAACTTGAATTTTAATCATTTCTCACATTGTAATTAATTAAATTTAATTAATATAAAGTCAAATTACCATTACAAGCTCAACTTGGATCTGCTTGTTACCTAACTTGTATATTATTAATTAATTAAATAATTTTATTTATTTAAAACAATTTCTGCGGTAATTTCTGAGGTTGAAATAAACGAATGAAATTACAGCCAGAGAAAATGATATGAATAATAAATGCCGATTATAATTAGCATAATAATGAAAATTGAAATTTAGCCTCGCGTATTCGATACGAGATTACGAGCGGTAACATAGGAGGAGCATTTGCCGTGAAGAACATGACTGGGGCCATTTATGTCGCTGGAGCGTTGGATTACGAAACGAGGAAGAGGGTAAGTAATGCCAGCCCGGTGGTACATGTTGAGCAACTACCTCACTCAGCTAAACCTATATCTAGTCATACCAGAACTAAACCCACCGCCGAATATCTTGAGTATAATTCACTAAAGCGTAAATACATAGACAGGAATGTCAATAGCAGTTAGAACCCACTGAATCGTACATCAAAATAGTACCACTGTTTTATCTCATGTTTACATTTATTCAACGCTTCTTGTTTCGAGCGATAAAACAAAGCCCTAAATTTTCATTCCAAACTCATTAAATTAACCAGTACTATATATATTATCTTTTATTCTCGGGGTTGTATGAGGGACTGGGACTCCGACGCGTTACTATACTATACCAGAGATCAATATCTTCGAATTCATCTGAATTAAATTTTTTTCTTTTTCTTCTTTATTGAAATTAAATTAATTTGTTTTATTTTTGATAAATTGAAAGTTGAAAAAAATTTATTAATATCTAAATTTAATTTTTTTTATGAATTATAAATAGGATATAACTTGACAATTGTGTGGTTTGATAAATTAATGATAATATTCACGAAATTGCAAATAACTACTCGCTTAGAATTTAATATTTGATCTTGAATCCTCGGAAATTAATCTTGAATTTTCAATATTTGAATATTAAACAACTCAAGATAATTATAAAAATAATTGAATTTTTTTTAATTTGAAAAAAGATTATTTAAAAAATTAATCAAAATTCTAAAAAAGAAAATTAGTGAAATATACTCAATTTATTTTCAGTGAAAATTTTATGCAACTGATGAAAAAAAAAAAAAAAAATTCTTTTTTTAGTACGAATTAAAACTGACAGCGTCGGACAATCTCCGTGAGAATTACACGACAGTAGTAATTCATGTAAAAGATGTTAATGATAATCCTCCGGTATTTGAGAGACCTACTTACCGAACTCAAATCACCGAGGAAGATGACAGAAATTTGCCAAAGCGAGTTCTTCAGGTACTTTTTCTCAGATCAATGTCTATTATCTATTTTTTAATTAAGAGTTTGCCGAGAGCGGTTTTTAATTTTTTTTTTCTCTAATATTCAAATATTTAAAAGGTAATGGCAACTGACGGTGATAAAGACAGGCCTCAGAATATTGTTTACTTTTTAACGGGTCAAGGAATAGATCCCAATAACCCGGCAAACAGTAAGTTCGATATCAATCGGACCACCGGCGAAATTTATGTGCTCAAGGTAAGAAAATATAAAGCTCAAAGGAATTATATATAAATATATATGTATATTTTCAATCTATACTGAAATGTTATCTTGGGAGAAAAAACTAATGGAATTCGATTATCAGCCGTTAGATCGCGATCAGCCAAACGGAAGACCCCAGTGGCGATTCACGGTGTTTGCTCAGGACGAGGGCGGAGAAGGGCTTGTTGGGTACGCCGATGTTCAGGTTAATCTTAAAGACATTAATGATAATGCCCCGATATTTCCGCAAGGCGTCTATCATGGTAATGTTACGGAAAATGGAACTGCAGGTGATTTGTTTAGTTATTATTATTGCTTTTTTTTTTTTTAAGCTTAAATCAATATCAACATTCACTTAATAATATTTTATCACACAGGAATGCTGGTAATGACGATGACCGCGGTCGATTACGACGACCCGAGCGAGGGAACAAACGCGAAACTTATTTACTCGATCGAGAAAAATGTTATCGAGGAGGAGACCGGCTCTCCAATATTTGAAATTGAACCGGATACTGGCGTTATCAAGACCGCTGTTTGTTGTTTAGATAGAGAGCGTACGCCAGATTACTCGATACAAATAGTTGCGGTGGATGGCGGCTCGTTAAAAGGTATCTACAAATATACAAATCGCTCTTTCATATATTTTTTATTTTCATCTTCATCTATGTTCTGCGAGACCGCGTTCACTTCAATGTGGAAATAATAAATTGAAAAACAGAGAGCAAAATACCACAATATTTCTCTATTTATTGATAATGAAAAAACAATAATTTCAACCAACCAACTAATCAAAAATATTTTTCTTGATTCTTTAATAATTCTTCAATTTATTGCAACTAAAATTTATATTTTTTTCAATAATTTTTTTATAAAATTTCGGCTTTTAAACTTGCACGGAAAAAAGTAAACTGTAATAAATAACAGTCGATTTATAATAAGTAATGATCAACTACTAAAAATTACCATTTCAAACAGTAAAATCATGATTTTACTATTCACTTTATAACATTTACCATTTAAATGTTACAATTTACTCTTTACATAGAAGAAAATACTATTTCAAAGAGTAATATTCGCTATGTAAATGTCTAAAATGTTTAAGTATAATAATTAAGAATTCAGACTTTAATATTTATCATTTCGTACCTAAAAAATGATCTTACGATATGTAAAAAGTATAAAATAAAGTTAGTAAATTTCTAATACAAGCAACGTCAATATTTACAAAGTAAAATGGTAAATTTTAAACGCAACGCTAAAAATCAAACTGTAATTATTGACTTGCTTGGACTGGTAAAATGTATATTTTAAAAGTATAATTTTTACTGTTTGAAATGTTAAATTCTCCCAGAGTGAGACCCCCTTCTCTTTCATCTGAGTTCCCCTTCTCCTCATAATATGGACTATATATTGAAATAGAAATTTTTACTGTTTGAAACTGTAATTTTTTAAGATGAAAGAGTCGTTATTTACTATAGTGACAGCTACTAATCACTTATTATGGATATTAAATTATAAATTGTAGCTTTTATACTTTCTACATTAAGTTCTGTAATATTTATATTTTTGCCACCCCGATGTCCGCTTTACTGTTTGAAACTATAAAAATTAACCGGAATCCGAGTGAATATTACAGTTTACTTTTTTCCGTGTGTAAAATAATTTTTGACTGATAAAAAAAAATTAATTCAAGATTTAAAATTTGTCCTTTTCAATCGAAAAAAATTTTTTTTTAAATTAATTCTAAGCTAAAAAAATGAATCCTCAAAAATTTTTAAAAAAAACTAAATCTAAAATTCATTTCACCCTTGAATTAAACTCATCAAAACTTTTACCACCGACCAGAGAGAAAAAATCTCGACTGAACATAAAAATAAAATAAAAATGGTATTATTTAAACAGGCACGGGCACGGCCTCGATACGAGTGAAAGACATAAACGACATGCCTCCGCAATTCACTAAAGAAGAGTGGCTCACTGAAGTGGATGAAACAGATGGCACAAATCTTCCGGAAATGCCGATTCTCACTGTCACCGTTCACGACGACGACGAAACCAACAAGTTCCAATACAAGGTAACTATTCGCCAGAACCAGAACGAAAAAGAGACAGAGAAAGAGCGCCATCAGCCGTTCTGCAAAATTACTTTAAACGTTCGGGCTTCTGAAAGCTCCACCGCATACATACCCCCACCCACAGCCCCGCCAATCTACATCCCAGCACACTAATGCACCTGAGCAGAGCCGAGCTTTGAAGCTTCAAGCGGTTAAATTTTCTTTGACTCGTCACGGTGTCTCTTTACCTCTGCTCGCATCCTATCTATTCTTCCAGGCAGCATTTTCCGTTTATTTACATCAAATGAGATGGTGATGGTCAATGACTAACGGAATACCCTATCAGCCCATTACACTCGATGCGTTTTTCTCCAACAGTGAAACGGAGTAGCTTCTGTTTCTCCTCCTCCTCCTCCTCTCGAGCTTAATGCATTAATCTTTTGTTCCTCAGGTACTGGACGACAGCGGGTTTGGGGCTGATAAATTCACAATGGTTCGCAACAACGATGGAACTGGTTCATTAAAAATAGTCCAGCCATTAGACTTTGAGAACCAGCTACAAAGTAATGGATTCAGATTCAAAATTCAAGTCAATGACAAGGTACGTACAGACTAATGGTGCTCTTAATATTTATTAATCGATCAAGTACCATTAAAATATAAAGACAAATACATTAAAAATCTACTAAAGAGTTTTACGCACTCAGAAGACCGAAAAAAAATTTTCGATAATTTTTTTTTAGGGACTTTTTAATAGATAAAAATTTTTATGCTTAATTAAAAATTATCAGGCTCTTAAAAATAATTTTCCTGGTTAGAAATTTTTATCATGAATAAAATTTATTCTTTCATCAGCTTAAATGTAAAGATATAATACTAAAAAAAAATGGAAAAACATTTTCCAGGGCGAGGATAACGACAACGACAAATACCACGTCGCGTACTCCTGGGTGGTAGTTAAATTGCGGGACATAAACGACAACAAGCCCCAGTTCGATAAGTCAAATATCGAAACGACGGTGCTCGAGAACGCAGAAGTCGGAAATAGCCTGGAAACCTTCAAAGCGACGGACCCCGACCAGGGAGGGAACAGCAAGGTGTCTTACGCGATTGACCGAAGTTCCGATCGCAAGAGGCAGTTTCATATCAATGAAAACGGCACTGTCACTATACAAAGGAGCCTCGATCGAGAAGAAACCCCGAGACATCAAGTATGTGGAAATTGCTTCACTTTTCATCTTTTTTAGATCAATAAAAAAATATTAATTATAAATTTATTATCAAAGTGCTTTTTTACGACTATTTTTTTTTTCAATTGAAATTTTTTTTTACACACTTTTTATTTTTAAAAATGTCCGAAATAAATTTTCTGAACATTTAAATCCTTGATAATAAATATAAATTCATTCTAGGTCAAAATTCTTGCGATCGATGACGGAATTCCCCCGAAAACAGCAACCGCTACGCTAACAGTGATAGTCACGGACATAAACGACAATCCGCCGACTTTCTTAAAAGATTACAGGCCCGTTTTGCCGGAGTATGCAATGCCGAGGAAGGTGATTGAGATATTAGCGACCGATGACGACGACAGGTCCAGGAGCAACGGGCCGCCTTTCACCTTCAGGATGGACCCCAATGCCGACGATATCATTCGTGCGAGCTTCAAAGTCGAGAGTGATAACAGTTAGTAGCGATTATCTTGGAGTTTGATGGTATTGTTGTTAGTATCCGGAGGTTTACTGTATTAATCTATTCCTTTTGATAACAGAGGGTGCTAATGGGGACGGTATGGCGATTGTATCATCCCTGCGCTCATTTGATCGCGAGGTGCAGAAGGAATATCTAATTCCTATAATAATAAAGGATTCCGGAACTCCGCTCATGGCCGGTACGAGCACTCTTACTGTTGTAATTGGCGATGTTAATGATAACAAAATGCAACCTGGCTCTAAGGATATCTTTGTATATAACTATGCTGTGAGTATTGCTTTTTTATCGCTCCACCTTTGATATTAAATTTTATTTTCTATTAAAATTTATTCGATGAGAAAATTAATGTTTATTGCAAAAAAATTTTTCAAATTTAAAGTTCAATTTTTTAGAAATATTTTTTTCACACTGATTAAATTTAAAATTTGATATTTATTGATAAAAATTATTTTTTACCTCGAGCCAAATAAAAAACGGCAATAAAATAAAATGAAAAAAAATTTGTAGTTTGTGTAAAAAGTAAATTGATCTTGACATTAAGGCTAAAATAAATAAAATTTTATAATGAAAAGTCGAAACTATAAATACAAACTCCAAAACATAGGTCGCGTTTATAAAGCATCATCAAAGACATAAAAGGAAAAAAAAACCTTTCTGTGTTATTTTTTCAATTTTTTATCTAAAAAAAATCTAAATGATAAAACTAAAAATTTTATCTATACGGAAAAAAGTAAACTGTAAAATTCACTCGATTTCGATTAATTTTTATAGTTTCAAACAGTACAGCGGACTTCGGGGTGGCACAAATGTAAATATTACAAAACTTAATGTAGAAAGTGTAAAAGCCACAATTTATAATTTAATATCGAAAATGTGATTAGGAGCTGTCACTATAGTAAATAACGACTCTCTCATCTTAAAAAATTACAGTTTCAAACAGTAAAAATTGCCGTTTCAACATATAGTCTATATACGGAAAAAAGTAAACTGTAATAAATAACAGTCGATTTATAATAAGTAATCATCAACTGCTAAAAATTACCATTTCAAACAGTAAAATCATGATTTTACTATTCACTTTATAACATTTACCATTTAAATGTTACAATTTACTCTTTACATAGAAGAAAATACTATTTCAAAGAGTAATATTCGCTATGTAAATGTCTAAAATGTTTAAGTATAATAATTAAGAATTCAGACTTTAATATTTATCATTTCGTACCTAAAAAATGATGTTATGATATGTAAAAAGTATAAAATAAAGTTAGTAAATTTCTAATACAAGCAACGTCAATATTTACAAAGTAAAATGGTAAATTTTAGACGCAACGCTAAAAATCAAACTGTAATTATTGACTTGCTTAGACTGGTAAAATGTATATTTTAAAAGTATAATTTTTACTGTTTGAAATGTTAAATTCTCCTAGCGTGAGACCCCCTTCTCTTTCACCTGAGTTCCCCTTCTCTTCATAATATGGACTATATGTTGAAACGGCAATTTTTACTGTTTGAAACTGTAATTTTTAAAGATGAAAGAATCGTTATTTACTATAGTGACAACTACTAATCACTTATTTTGGATATTAAATTATAAATTGTGGCTTTTGTACTTTCTACATTATGTTCTGTAATATTTACATTTTTGCCACCCCGATGTCCGCTTTACTGTTTAAAACTATAAAAACTAACCGGAATCCGAGTGAATATTACAGTTTACTTTTTTCCGTGTACACGGAAAAAAATTAACTGTTGCTGGAACAGGAGGCAGTCATGTTGCAGCAACAGGAAAAATTCCTGTTACAGCAACAGGATTTTCCTGTAGCTGCAACAGGAGGCAGGCATATTGCAGCAACAGGATTACTATAGTTAGGTCATTCCATGTCAAATTGACCTACAGTTGGAATTGACCCCTTTTGATTTGGATAAATTTTGATCAGAAATTTTCTTTTATCATATAACGAACTTCTGCCAGACGAAAAAAAAATTAAAAAATTTTATTCAAAAGATATGCAAATTCAAAATTTCGCTATTTTTTCAGTTTTTTAATTTTGTTTTTGGAATATCTCTTGGGGCTATTGAAAAAAAAAAATATTTTGGAAAAAAATTTTGAAAAATGCCAAATTTTTCAAATTTTAAATTTTTAAAAATCGTCAAAAATCTCGATTGACATTAAAATCTTGGCTCAATTTTTTTTGTATAGTACCTTGTACTGATCTTAAAAGACCCTGAAATTTTTAGAACTGTGTGTTTTTTTTTTAAATATGAATTTTTGAATTTCAGAAAAAAATTTTTTCTTGTTTTTTGCAACTTTTAAATAAGGTAAAGTTATGCAGATACATAGTATTATAATTTCGAGCATTAAAAAATTAAATGCACGGCGTGGAAATATTAAATAATAAATTAATTCCAATTTTTTTTATTTTTTTGGAGTAATCTTAAAGTCAGGTTTAACATGGAATGACCTAACTATATTTTACAATTAAGTCGCAATAACGGTAGTAATCCTGTTGCTGCAACATGCCTGCCTCCTGTTGCAGCTACAGGAAAATCCTGTTGCTGTAACAGGAATTTTTCCTGTTGCTGCAACAGGAGGCAGTTATGTTGCAGCTGCAGGAAAATCCTGTTACTGCAACAGTTAATTTTTTTCCGTGTACTATGAGGAGGGGAAGGTCTCAGACTCGGAGAATTTACCATTTGAAACAGTAAAAATTCTACTCTTAAAATATATATTTTACCAGTCCAGGCAAATCAATAATTATAGTTTGATTTTTAGCGTTGCGTTTAAAATTTACCATCTTACTTTGTAAATATTGACGTTGCTTGTATAGAAAATTTAGTAACTGTAGTTTATATTTTTTACATATCATGCGATCATTTTTTAGGTATGAAATGATAAATATCAAAGTCAAAACTCTTAATTATTATCCTTTAATATTTTCGACGCACATAGCGAATATTACTGTTTGAAATAGTATTTTTTTCCATGTAAATAATAAATTGTAGCATTTAAATGATAAATATTATAAAGTGATTGTAAAAATCACGATTTTACAGTTTACTTTATTCCGTGTTTTTTTTTTCGCATAAAAAATAAGCACTAAATTCTCAAAAAAACATTTTAACAAAACTCGAGTGCAATGAAGTCTTTAGCCCAACAAATAACACTTGAAAATCCGGATATTTTTTTAAAGGGACAATCACCAGACACCGAAATAGGTAGAGTTTACGTTTACGACCTGGACGACTGGGATTTGCCGGACAAGAAGTTTTATTGGGAGGGTTTAGAGCACGCCCAGTTCAAGCTCGACGAAGATTCAGGGATGATATCGATGAAATCCGGCACCCACGACGGAAAGTATCATTTACGATTCAAAGTTTACGACCGTAAACATACCCAGACTGACGTCCCGGCAAACGTAACCGTCACCGTAAAGACGATACCGCACGAGGCAGTAATGAATTCCGGGTCAGTACGTCTGTCCGGGATATCCGATGAAGACTTCATCCGCGTGTGGGATTACAAGAACCAGAGGCTAATGCGGAGCAAAGCGGATCTGTTCAAGGATAAATTGGCATTGCTGCTGGACATTGAGAGGGAAAACGTCGACGTATTCAGCGTGCAGCAGCGCAGAAAATACCCGCCACTGACAGACGTGAGGTTCGCGGCCCACGGGTCCCCCTACTATAAAGCCGTCAGGCTAAATGGAATGGTCCTGATGCACCGAGAAGAAATCGAGAAAGAGATCGGGATAAATATCACGATGGTCGGGATTGACGAGTGTCTCTACGAAAACGAGGTCTGCGAGGGAAGCTGCACGAATATTCTCGACATTAATAATCAGCCATACATGGTGAATGCTAATAAAACCGCCCTGGTCGGCGTCAGAGTTGACGTTATTGCCCAGTGCACTTGCGGTGCCAGGAACTTTACCACCACCGAGTCGTGCCGGAACAGCCCTTGCTACAATGGCGGACGGTGCATCGAGGGCAGATATGGATTAACGTGAGTTGAATTTATAAATCTATTTATTAATGATAAATTAAACACACCCGGAATACTAAACGCTTCATGTTAATATTGACGCGCTCCAGTTTGAAGATATCATGCTCGCTTTTCTGCTGATACTTGATCCTCTATTTTTTTTTTTTTAATATCTCCGCAAAAAAAGATATCTTGGCTCGAAAATATTTTTATGATAAAGATGAATTTATTGGTTTAAAAGAATTATTTTCTTGGCATTGAAAATTTTTAATAAAAATTTTAAATCAATTTAATAAAGTATAGGTAAAATGATTTTTTTATTTCAAAAAAAAATTTCGGACTAAGAAATTAAATCTCCCTACTAATTTATTAAAAGATTCAATTTTTGGCGATATTTTCCCATTTTTAATTTATAAAAAAAATTTCTTAAATTAAGAAGAGAATTTTTTTAATAAAAAAAAAATTTTTTTCTTTCTGTGTACTGTTTAATTTGAATTTAAATTTAAATAGTAATTACATAATTGCCGTGAGATATTTTATTTACCGCTTAACTCCGTCGACAATTACTGCTTAATGATAATTGTCCTCCGTTTTTTGGTCGTTTGTAATTTAGATATTATCTCTAATTTCTATTGACGTAATAACTGTTATTGTCCGAGTTTTAATCGCATTTAAACAAAATAATTGTTGGATTTAATATAAGTTTTAATTGTTTTTCAGGCGACTCAACTATGCAATTTTATTATAACAAAAATGTACGAAACAAAATATTAAAATTACTGAATTATTATTTAAAAAATGTATGAATCCTTAATTTACTATACGCTTGGACGCTACGCGATGCTGAAAAATTTACGGCTTTTTTTTTTAAACTAAAATCAAATTTAAGATTCCGACGTTTGAAATTACAAAACAAAATTGGATCAAGCGTGAGAGATTTAATCGTGAAAAAAAAATTTAATCACTAAAAGTTACACGGAAATTTATGGTAAATGATTTGCATTCAAATCATAAATTTTTACATAATAAAATGAAACTATAATAGGACATTAACATATAAAAATATTAGATTTTTAAAATAAAATTTTAACAATTTTTTCGTTATTTAAGCAATTAATAAAAACGGCCATTAATATTCAATAAAGAAATATTTCCATCCAGGCATCAAGTCGGTAGTTAATTAAACTTGAACCGTAGGCGGTGTAAACCCTCAACTCCCGGTAGCTTAATTAACAAAAATGACTGTGTCGATCAAAATTTAATTACAACCGGACACTTAATTTCCAGCTTTACGTCAGATTGACATAACAGAACAAAAAGAAGCTGAAAAATAATTATAATCAGTCTGGTAAAATATATTCTCCTATCATCAACTGAGCCTCCTCATTATGTTTGTTATTAGATGTCAATGTCCAGCGGGCTACAATGGACCTAGATGTCAGCAAACGGCGCGGAGTTTCCGTGGCAACGGCTGGGCTTGGTACCCGGCGTTAGAAATGTGCGACAACAGTCACCTTAGTTTTGAGTTTATCACACGAAAGCCTGACGGTTTGTTACTGTACAATGGCCCCATTGTGAAACCAGAATCCGACGAAGTTATGGTTTCCGGTAAGTTACTAAACTTTCATTTGATAATTTAGTTTCACTGCTCCATCTTCATCTTCCTCTCATACTCATGAATATAACATCAAATTACATCAATATTTACATTTCTATTGAGATGTCCTTCCCTTGTCCCAAACTATCAAAACTATAACATGAATTTCTCCTGCTTTTGCAGTGCTGTATAATATAATACAGGCTCTACTTATTCCCAAAACTAATATCTAGAGAGCAAACTTCAGGAGCAGTCTTTTTACTAACTAGTTAATTGCATTTTCATCTTTCTTTGAGAGGTTGTATGCAGAATTTTTTACTTATCAATTTTTAATTTTTTATCTTGACAATATTTCCCAAAAATTTCAAATCGATTTAATAAACCTCTAAAATTTCTATGATTTAAGCGAACAATTTGAAGATTGGCCGGCAATAAGAAGCAGAAAAAAAAATTCCTAAACCAAATAAAATAAATTTAAACTAACAAAAAATGTTTAGTTTAAGGAGGTTCAAGAGTAACTTATGAGTCAAAATAATGTTTAAATTTTCTTTAACTTTCAGTCTTCCCAATATTCGTCAGAATTCTTTATCTCAATTTAAAATAATTTGAACAATTTAATAACTGATGATTTTTTACTTATTCAATAAAATAAAGTAATAAAATGACTTTCGTATTTATTACTGGCCGGATTAAATAAACAGATTTGGCAACAGCGCGTTTGATTATACCCAATACAGAGACGTGCATGAGTGTATGAGTTAAATATTTCTCTCTGTAACTATATTTCTATCCTTTTCTTTTTTCTCAGCTGTTGACGCGACGTTACCAAATCTTTATTGGAATAAATAGCTGACGATAAACGAGTTAAAAACATAAAATTAAACTTTAAATATTTAAAAAATTATATCGGTAATGTATCATTATTAAATTTTTTGTATATTTTACAATAATCCAAGTTTCTTGTTGATAGTTTATTCACTAAAGTTGGGAAGTTAAGATTGAAAAAAATAATTAAAGTCTCGACTAAAGTTTGTCCGCCATAAGAGCCCGTGTATAAAGAGATAAAAAATGTGATTTTTGAAATTTAATATCCAAGTAACTAAACGGTGAATCTTTTTAAAATTTTGAGATTAGATAAATGACGTATTGCACGACTCATGATGCGAAGCATCAGAGAGTGATTTACGATCGAAAAATTTTTTTCGCCCCATTTTGGCAACTATTTTTAGTATTATAGCCTTGTTAGTTCACGGAATCAAGATGTTTTGCATACTATTGTTGAGGTAATTTAATGGAGATTAATTCCATATTTGGTAAAAATTAATTTAGTGCAATAGAAACGGAAAAAAATATCAAAATAGGTCAAAAAATTTTCCTGTCCGTCATGTATGAAACTCCGGAAACACTGTAACTTGTGAAAAAATCAATTATTTGAGTAAAATTTTTTTTTTTAATTCTAATCGACAATTGTAGGTCACCGAATGCGAATGGCTAATTAATTCAGTGTCGTTTAATTACAATTACAATTAATAAAAAACGAAAACTACTAGACTGGATACCTATATATATGCATGTAAAATAATATGGATGGTGATATATCTATATCTAGAGATATTATGTACATTTATTCCACCAGAGGCGCTTGTGCAGTACCTTCCTAGTACAGCTGTTTTTTCGGCAACTAATTTTGAACGACTTATGTTTTTTTTTTTTTTTTTTTTTTTTTTCCAATATTTTATAATTAAATCAGCATTATGAGTCGTGCACTTTTGGATTTTCCAAATTTTTTTTTATTTATACGTATACTTAATTTCAAAGCTCAAAATTGGAAAGGTCAAAATAAATTATTAAAAATAACAATTTCTCTCTAACTTTGACTGCGTCTAATTCTTAAAAAAGAATTCAATGTTTTATTATCAATAAAAAAAATAATCAATTTTCTAGACTTTATTTCCGTGGAGCTTGAGCGAGGTGTACCGCGACTGCTAATCGACTTCGGATCAGGAACCCTGGAACTAAAAGTAAAGACAAAGCGTCCATTAGACGACGGAGAATGGCATCGATTGGACATTTTCTGGACGACAGAAACAGTAAAACTTATCGTAGACTTCTGCAAGTCCGCGGAAATAAGTGAGCAAGAAGACGGAACCCCTCCAACCCTCGACGGAACATCGTGTCAGGCTACAGGAGCAGTTCCGCCGTTCAACGAGTACCTGAACGTGAACGCGCCTCTGCAATTGGGCGGGTCCTACATGGAACACTTTGAGCCGTCGCACTACAAGTGGAAGTCGCGGCCGATGAACAAGGGCTTCGACGGCTGCATCAGGAACTTGTTCCACAACAGCAAGCTTTACGATCTCGCACACCCAGGTCTCTCGAAGCACAGCGTAGCGGGTTGTCCTCCGACGGACGAAATCTGCGGGAACCAAGAGTCGACTTTGAGGTGTTGGGAACACGGAACGTGCGTAGGAAGCTTCACCGAAGCAAGGTGTCAATGCAACCCCGGCTGGACCGGTCCAGGGTGCATGACTCAGACGATCCCGACCACTTTCAAGCAGCAGAGTTATGTCAAGTACGCGCTATCCTTCGAGCCAGACAAGTACTCGACCCAGATTCAACTGAGATTCAGGACCCGCGAGAACCACGGAGAGCTTTTCAGGGTTAGTGACCAGCACAATAGAGAATACGCAATTCTGGAAATCAAAGGCAGCAGACTGCAGTTCAGATACAACTTGAACAGTCTGAGGGTTGAAGAAAGGGACATCTGGTTGAGCGCCATCACTGTTGATGACGGGCAGTGGCATACTGTGAGAGTCTCCAGGTACGGATCCGCGGCGACTTTAGAGCTTGATGGAGGTGAAGGACGACGATTCAATGAGACCTTCTCCTTCGAGGGTCATCAGTGGCTACTTGTTGACAAGCAGGAGGGTGTTTATGCGGGTGGAAAGGCCGAATACACTGGAGTTAGGACCTTTGAGGTCTATGCTGATTATCAGAAAGGTAATATGTCGTATTGAATTATTTGTTTTATGTCAGATGGATAATAGATGCTAGTTTTGGTTAATAAAAAAATTTTTATCTATGAATTTGGTTAAGATCTGCAATTTTGAAGATATAATTTTTTATCTATAATTTTGAGCCCAAAAATTTTGATCTATAATTTTATATCTAAAATTTGTTGTCTAGAATTTTGAATTTATAAGTTGGATCTATAAATTTTGTCTATAAGCTTGGATCTACCATTTTTTATCTGTAAGTAATGATCTATAATTTTTGATCAACAATTTTGGATCTAAAAGTTTGAAGATATAATTTTTTAACTATAATTTTGAGCCTAAAAATTTTGATCTATAATTTTATATCTAAAATTTGTTATCTAGAATTTTGAATTTATAAGTTGGATCTATAAATTTTGTCTATAAGCTTAGATCTACCATTTTTGATCTGTAAGTAATGATCTATAATTTTTTATCTATAATTTTGAGCTTAAAAATTTTGATCTATAATTTTAAATCTAAAATTTGCTATCTAGAATTTTGTATTTATAAGTAGGATCTATAAGTTTTGTTTATAAGCTTGGATCTACCATTTTTTATCTGTAAGTAATGATCTATGATTTTTGATCAACAATTTTGGATCTACAAATTTGAAGATATAATTTTTTAACTATAATTTTGAGCTCAAAAATTTTGATCTATAATTTTATATCTAAAATTTGTTATCTAGAATTTTGAATTTATAAGTTGGACCTATAAATTTTGTCTATAAGCTTAGATCTACCATTTTTTATCTGTAAGTAATGATCTATAATTTTTGATCAACAATTTTGGATCTACAAGCTTTGGACTATAATTTTTTATCAATAATTTTCGACTTCAAAATTTTGATTTATAATTTTGGATCTAAGAGTTATGATCTTTTAGTAATTGTCTATAAATCTGAATTTAAATTTTAGACACATAATTTACAACTAACAAGTTAATAATAAAATCATAGAATGTTAAATTAAATCAATGAATACAAGCAATAAATTTGCTTACAAATTGCGTTAATTGTTCCAGGATGTTTGGATGACATCTAGAATTTTGAATTTATAAGTTGGACCTATAAATTTTGTCTATAAGCTTAGATCTACCATTTTTTATCTGTAAGTAATGATCTATAATTTTTTATCTATAATTTTGAGCCTAAAAATTTTGATCTATAATTTTAAATCTAAAATTTGTTATCTAGAATTTTGTATTTATAAATAGGATCTATAAGTTTTGTCTATAAGCTTGGATCCATCATTTTTGATGTGTAAGTAATGATCTATAATTTTTGATCAACAATTTTGGATCTACAAATTTGAAGATATAATTTTTTAACTATAATTTTGAGCCTAAAAATTTTGATCTATAATTTTATATCTGAAATTTGCTATCTATAATTTTGAATTTATAAGTTGGATCTATAAATTTTGTCTATAAGCTTAGATCTACCATTTTTTATCTGAAAGTAATGATCTATAATTTTTTATCTATAATTTTGAGCGTAAAAATTTTGATCTATAATTTTAAATCTAGAATTTTGTACTTATAAGTAGGATCTATAAGTTTTGTCTATAAGCTTGGATCTATAATTTTTGATGTGTAAGTAATGATCTATAATTTTTGATCAACAATTTTGGATCTACAAGCTTTGGACTATAATTTTTTATCAATAATTTTCGACTTCAAAATTTTGATTTATAATTTTGGATCTAAGAGTTATGATCTTTTAGTAATTGTCTATAAATCTGAATTTAAATTTTAGACACATAATTTACAACTAACAAGTTAATAATAAAATCATAGAATGTTAAATTAAATCAATGAATACAAGCAATAAATTTGCTTACAAATTGCGTTAATTGTTCCAGGATGTTTGGATGACATAAGACTGGAAGGCAAGCACCTTCCCTTACCACCGGCGATGAATGGAACCCAATGGGGACAGGCGACAATGGCAAGGAATTTAGAGCGTATGTGTCCGTCTAATAAGCCTTGTAACAACGTACTTTGTCCAGAACCGTTCGAGTGTATTGATCTCTGGAACGAACACGCTTGCACGTAAGTAGATTATTTACTTAACCGATTAATCTAATCCCGTCATTAAAGTACTCCGAGTAGTCTAATTAGTTCCGAGTCTAATAGAGAGGACCACACTGAAGTTAAATATAAAAAATCCCCGAACAATTAAACAAAATAGTTAAATAAATTCCAGATGCGGAGAGGGAAAAGTCAGATCCCCCGATGGCAAAGGGTGCACCGACAAGAACGAGTGCATAGATTACCCCTGTTTGAACGGCGGAAGGTGCATTAATCAAGACCCGAGACTCAGGTACAGGTGTATTTGTCCCGACGGTTTTTGGGGTGAAAATTGTGAGCTTGTTCAAGAAGGACAAACACTAAAGTTAAGCATGGGCGCGCTTGCTGCGATTCTCGTCTGTTTGTTAGTCATTCTCGGTGAGTTTGTACTTTAATTGTAATTTAATTCCAATTATTAATTTATGAAATACAATTATAATTATAATAGAGGATTATAATTAAATTAATGATGCGATGCACGGTTTATTTTTTCAGTGCTGGTGTTGGTATTCGTGGTAATTAATAGAAGGAGGGAGGCTCACATCAAATACCCCGGACCAGATGACGACGTCAGAGAGAATATTATTAATTATGACGACGAAGGCGGCGGAGAAGACGATATGACGGCCTTTGACATCACGCCGCTTCAAATACCTATCGGAGGTCCTATTCCAGACATGGGAGGCAAATTACTATCGTGTAAAGCTGCATGTAAGTGAAGCCAATAACATTACTTAATAACTCTGTGGTTAGATATTTTTATTTTAATTTATTAATGATAGTTAATTAAAAAAAAAAATTTAAAAAGCTTATAAGTGTTTAATTACAGTAAAAAACAGAAAATAAACTTCTATCTTCTTGGTCAATAAATCACTCGGAAATTAAACCTACTTGACAATTAAAGTCTTTGGGAAAAAAAGCAAAATGAATCAACCAAACAAAAAAAAGACGCCATTCGGCCATACCCGAAATGGAAGGTAGATTTCATAGAATGAATTATCGTCTTGTATCAATAACTTTCGTTTGACATGGGTAGGTTGTATTACACATTGCCTGAAAATGGTTCAATTGAACTCTTAACT